TCTTGAAACACCCACCTTTGAGATCGTTTCTATTAAAACAAATTTTGTTTCCCTTGAGGCAGTTTCTCTAGAAATACAAAATCTTTGAGTTTGTTTCTTTTGAAATAAAACCATCTTTGAGTAGTTTCCCTTGAAACGAATTTTGACTCTTGAGATAGTTTCTCTTAAAACAAGATCATCTTTGAGTTTGTTCTCCGGAAACAAGGTTTTATCCCTTGAGATAATTTCTTTTGAAAAATCATTGAATATGTTTCTTTGGAAACAAAATTTTGTCTCTTTTAAGAAAAATCTTTGAGTCTGTTTATTTTGAAACAAAATTTACCATCTTTGAGTATGTTTCCCTTGAAACAAAACAAACAAAATCTTTGAGTATGTTTTTCTTGAAATAAAAACATCTTTGAGTTTGTTTCTCTCGAAACACCGATCTTTGGGAATGTTTCCCTTAAACACAAATTTTGTCTCGCTTGAGACAATTTCCTTTAAACGTCCTCTTTGAGTCGTTTCCCTTGAAATGAATTTTGTCTCTTTCGAAATAGTTGCTTTTGAAACACATTATCTTTGAGCTTGTTTTTCTTGAAACAAATCTTTGAGTCTGTTTCTTTTTAAACAAATCTTTGAGTCGGTTTCCCTTGAAACCATAATCACTAAAGATGGCCAGCCGTCCTCATCACGTAGGAACCGTGTCATCCCCTGACCAGACCTCCTCATCACGTAGGAGCCGTGTCACCCATAGATAACCAGCCGTCCTCATCGCGTAGGAACCGAGTTATCACCCTTCTTAAAGATGGCCAAAACTCTTCATCACGTCTGAGTCGTGTCATCCCTCGACCAAATTTCCTCATCACGTAGGAACCGTGTCACCCTTAGACGACCCGAACTCTTCATCACGTATGAACAGTGTCATCCCCAACAACCAACATTATTCATTTTCTAAGTTTAAAAGGGAGAGAACCAGATAAAAACGTGATGTCTTGTCGTCTTTGCCTTATTCTTGTTAACACAAGAATATGCAAAGAGGGGCAGTTGTAGACACTCGTTTTTGTCCGGGTCATTTTTTTTATTATATTATTATTTATATTATTATTATTGTTATTATTATTTATTATTTTGTTTACATTTTGTAGGCCTAAAGTTCAAGCCCAACTACAACACAAGTAACCCAGACCCCACAAAGACAACACCTGAAGCCTAATGCCAGACTAACCTAACTCATCCAACCCACCACTAGCAGTGACCCGACCCCGTTCAACAATCCGACCCGACTCGACTAACCTAGATTTTCATCATAACCCTAGGTGGTTCTGCCACCGCTGCCTGCTACTGCCACTCCTGACACTGCCGCCGTCAATAATCTGCACCAAACAGTGACTAAAATATCATCTACAGTGAATCAAATAACTCTTCAAAATCAGAAAATCCACACTTAAATCCTGAAAATCCGGGATTTCATAATACCTAAATCAGAGGAAGCCATGTCCTACAACCTAGATATCATCATCAATCAAAGAGGACACAGAGGCAAGCAAACATAAAAAGACAGAGAAGAGAAAAATATGGAGGATTCGGAGAAAAAGAAAAAAATATAGAGAGGGTTAAAAAAAGAGAACAGAGGGGATTCGAGTTTTGGAGAAAAGAAAAAAAGTAAAAAAGAGAGGGAAACACTAATAAATTCAGAGGGGTTTGAGAGAGAAAGTATCAAAAGATTTAAAAGAAAGAAAAGGAAAGAAATAAGATGAGAAAAGAAGAAAAAGTTTACCTTTTTCTTTAGATTTGCTCCAATCTAGCCCCAATCTCAAAAAACCGACCACGGATTCTTACTCAGCGCTAAAAACTACTTTGGGTAGTGCCTTTCTCTTTCTTCTTCGGCGCCGGTGAACGGCGGTGACGGCCGATCAGCAGCGACCGAACGACGGAGGCTCGCCGGTTTCTGGGAGCCTATGAGCTCTGGCTGAGAGCTCGCTATCTCTTTCACTCAAGTAGAGATGAAGCAAATGAGGTCATAAGGCCATTTTTGGCCTTAGATTACACACATATATATATATATATATTAAGTGCAAAATGACGTAGTTTTGCTTCCCATCTCTCCGTGTTTTGAAATTTTTGGGGCTATTAGCATCTTTGATCCTTGTTATTTTGTAATCTCATACGTGTGTTTTTCCATTTTCGGGTAAATTACAATTTAAATCCTTTTAGCTTTGTAATGTTTGTAATCGGATCCTTAATGAAGTTTCATCCTTCTATTTCGAGCTCTTTATTTATTTCATGTTTCGTTTTAATCCTATATGATAAGTATATTTTCTAAGTGTTTAAATTTTTGTTGCTTATTTTGTATAATGTCGTTTTAGTCCTCATTCACATGGTTTGTGTAATTATTTGATTTTGATCCTTAGAGTTTAGATTTGTTTCATTTCAGTCCATATTTGGTTAATTATTTTGTTTTCATTAGTTTTAATTTTGGCTATGATTGTAATAATTTTATTTTAGTCACTATTACATGTGTTGTGTGAATTTGGCTGATGTTCGAATTTGGCCCTCAGATTTGTGTATCTTTTGTTTTAATGTTTGGCATTTTGATTAATTACTTTTGATCCTTTATGTCTCTGAAATTTCATTTTAGTCCTTTATTATAATTTATGGGTTATTTCCATTGCCAATACATGTATTATTTAATATTTAAGATTTGGGCTTTGTTTTATTTGTAATTACTATTTAGCCCTTTTATGCCTTTTATATAAATTTATTTACATTGAAATTACATTTTTATTATGCCTTTTTAGTTTTCTTTCTTTTCTTGTTTCCTTATTCTTGTAACTCTATTTCCTTTTAATTAATATATTATATGTGTTTATCAATTCCTTTATTTATTCGTTTAATCTTCTTTAATTTGTTACCTTTTTTTCTTATTATTTATTTTAGTTTGCTTAATTTTGGTATATGATTTCATGCTTGTTTAATTTAATTCTATATTTGACTATTGACCTATTCTCTCTCTCTCTCTTTAATTTAGTTAGTTCTCCATATATTATCTTATATATTATTATATTTATACGTGAACATATCATGAAATTGCATTTACGTCATATTATACGTTTTATTAATTGATATTTTAATAGACGTGTATTGCATGTAAAGTATATATGGTAAGTATTTTAATGTATGTATATATAAGTCAATAAATATGTCAATTACATTTGCGCCTTATTATTTGTGTTATATATTATATAGATGTATTATTATATTTATATTTCTTTTCATTTCATATTTCTTTTTTTTTTTATTGTTTATTTTATTCTTTACTATATTACTATCTGAATATTCCAAGAATTCGTATTAGTAGAACGGGCGTAGAAAGTATCATTTGATCGAAGTGATACAATCTAATACGACGTTCGAACTAAATGGAACTTGAAATAAATCAATTTTTAGTTTGTTAATTGTTAATTCGTTTTTATTTTACACTGAACAATGCAAATTATGTATCTTATTTTTCGTAACTGTCAATTTGTAATTTATATTCGATATGCATCTTTTACATATTCGACGATAGAATATTCTTTAACAAATAAAAAATGGTTGAAATAGTTTTCCCGACAGAGGATTGCAAATTTCAAGATTTTTTATTGAGTTAAAGGATTTTCTTTAAATAGTTAATTCGAAGCAAATCGAACAATGTTCGATAAATGAATCATATTTTAACTTTATATTCGATTTGTAATTTCCACCATTTACAATAACGTGTAAGCGATTCAGTACCAATTTTTGGGCGTTTGTAGGGGTGCTTACCCTTCCCCACACGTAATCGACTCCCGGATCCTTTTAAAACGAATATTTGGTAAACGCAAACCAATTTTTGTCTTAAAAAATGATTTTTTTTCTTAAAATTGTTTCAAAAGACGTCTTTTGGGTATTCGACCTACCTAACCCTAAGGTCGATGGCGGCTCTCATTCGATTTAATTCCAAATTAATTCCAAATCACCAAAATTTTCAAATTAAAGTCATAATCGTTTTTTAAAATAATATTTAATTGTTTTACCTAAAATGGTTATGACTCGGTTATGGATTTGTTTTAAATAAGGTTCTATTGCATTCTAGACTAAAAGAATTATAGATTTTAAATGGCCAGAATCTGATTGTTAATCCGGAATAACTTTGCTTATGGCCTGTTTGGAATAAGATTAAAGTTGAATTCATTCATTAGATAACGGACTTCATCGTTGCGTTAGAGAATGAACTTCAAGCTTGTTCCTAATTTTTAAAAAGCTGGACTGCTATTTGCTAATTTGTAATACCTTCTGCTTATAGTCTGCTTGGAATCAAATTTAAGTTGAATTCTATTGAAGAATGGATTTTAAGGAAGACTTTTGTTCACATGATTGTATCAGTTTTAAGATGATAAATAGTTTATAGCATTCCAGACTAAGCGAACTACAGATTTCAAATGACGTTACTTACTATAATTCCCAAAAGCAATGCGATGGTAATATAAGCTTGTTCTGAATTGTTAAAAGGCCAGAATGTGATTGCAAATATTGTGTAACTTTTGACTACAGCACCAAATTAAAGTTAAATTCATTGCATTAGAGAATTTTAAGGAAGATTGCTCATATGATTTTATCTATTTAAAAAAATGTTATTGCCTCCAGGCTAAGCAAATTGTAGATTCAAATGACTTCAATTCAATCTTTTATTTCATATTTTAATTCCCAAAGCAATGCAATGATAAAAATTAGTTTTTAATTGTTAAAATGAACTGTTGAAACGTCGGAATCTATTGGTAAACTAGAATAACTTCACTTATGGCCGTTTTGGAACCAAAAATGCATTAGAGAATGAATTTTAAGGAAGATTTTCTTTGATGTATTTTAGAAAATCTAAATTGTTTATTGCATTCCAGACTAAGCTAATTATGGATTCAAATGACCTTAATTTTTTATCACCTTACGTTAATTCCCAAATCATAAACATGGTTCTATAAGCATATATTGAATTGCCTTCGGAGAGAGGATAGTGTCTGGAGTCCAGCCAACGGGAGCTATCCACCTTGGGAATTATCTTGGTACCATAAAGAATTGGATTGCGCTTGAGGTTCTCCTGACTTTCTTTGCTATTTTATTATTCTCAAGGTCAAAACTGTTATGTGATGTGAATAATATGGTTTTATGACATCAGCAATATAGCTACTTCCAATGAAGTTTATGGAATAAATTTTGTTTTCTTTCCCACCAGCTTTAGTCAGTTTGAATTTAGTGTGAGCACTGATGTTTGTCCTTGAGTGGTGTGCATCATTTTGAAATTGATGTGTGTTATCTTTTCTTTTTCTTTTCTGCTCAGATTACTCATAATCTGTGAGACTTTGGAAGTAGCCCTAAGGTTGGGTTTCATAACAGGTTCTAGATGACAGATTCTTGAACTAAACTATTGAATGCTGTCAATTTCTGGATTTGAAGCATAGAATTAAATTAACCAACTGGGCTGTCCTTGTTATTTGATACTTAAAAGGATACTTTACTGTTACGTTAACTTTTTGAATGATTAAGTGTTTCTTGATATAGTTTTATTTTGCAGAACTCATATGACACACTCTTTTTCATTGTGGACCTCCATGCGGTATGGTTGAAATCTCATTTATTGCAAATTTCTCATTGATATTGATTTCTTGCAATCATCTTGTATGTTGGGTTGCATTTTGAAAGAAAATTTTTCTTGCTACTGGATGACTAATAAGCTATTTTCAATTGATCCATTTTTCTCTGTGCAGATTACACTACCATATACACAACAATTATCAAAGGCAACAAGTAACACAGCAGCTATTTATTTGGCATGGGGTGGACACCTCAAAGGTTTGCTTCCACCTTTTTCCTTTATGATTTTTTACGAGTAATTTCTCTGTATGTTTGATTTTGTTTGTCACGCAGTGTAACAACCCGACTATTTACAAAATATTAATTGAAATCGGAGGTAAATTGAAAAGGGTGAAATTAGTGACTAAAGTATAATATAAAAACTTGTATGCCATTTTCGAAGTAAATGAAAGTCGGCAGGTTTGGTTATAACTTAACGTTTTTCTGATTTCAATCAAAAACAAAAGCTTTCTTAAACTTTCACTCCTCCCACACCTCGACTTTCAAGTCCGATTTCGACGCCGTTCGACATCCGATCGTCAAATTGAAACCACCATCGTGTTCGTTATCAAGTCAGGAACAATCCTCTTAAATTAATTGAAGCGAAACGCTGCTAAACGTTGGGAATTTCAAGTCAAAGCATCGACGTTTTTTTTAGCTCTATCGCCTAGAAAATCTCAAATTCACCGCCGATCGTTGCTCAGTTTACGACACCTCCTGCACCATCGTGTTCCTTGTGTCGTTTCGAGTGCACCGGTGTCAACCTTGTCCGCCGTCGACGGCGGCGCGTGAGGAGGTGGTGCAGTCAAAGATTCGGCCGATTTGAAATCGAGCTCTCCGCCGTTCAAAAATTTGAACCGATCGTTGTAAGTATATCGAAATCGCTCAAAATAATTTTTAGAAATTTTTCCGGGAATTTTAGGGCCCCGGAGGACGCCTCACGCGCCACACACGCCGCCGCAAGGAGAGTGGCTGCTGGAAACCGATTCAACCGGTTTTCAACCGGTTCTGAACGGTTTGACCGATTCGAACCGGTTTGACCGGTCTGACCCGATCGACCGACCCGACCAACCCGACCCGACCGTTGACCCGACCCGACCGTTGACCGTTGACCGTTGACTTTCTTTAACCAAAACTTAAAATGGCTTTGACCGAGCATTAAACGACCATTAATCTTTTCCGAGTATACCTATCCTGATAGTTTTCGACGTGCCGAATCCGTTTCCGCTGTCCGTTTCATCAAATTCGAACCCGAAGGCCTCCAAATCAACGGTCAAAGTGGTTGACTTTGACTTTGACCAAGAATCTGAATTTTCGAAAAGTTATACTTTATGTTTTCGACGTCCTGATTCCGATTCCGCAATCCATTTGGCCAAATTCAGACTCGAAATACCCCAAATTGATAGTCAAACCCGAAAAATGCTTATATACTTAAGAAGTCTAGTTTTGAACAATTAAATAGGATTTGAGACTGATAGATTATTATTGTTTGAAGGTACAAGAGACTCTCCGGATCGTTCGACAGCTCGACCAGCTCTTCTAGATCAGTTAAAACGTGTGCCATTATTCACGCGTTCGAAAACTGTAGCAGAGCGTGGTGAAACCAGCAATCAGTAGATTTGCTATTTTAACCTATTGTCGAGGTGTGTTCCCTACTTATTACTGAACTGTTTTATTGGTTAATATGTGGTACATCGATCATTGGTTATTGTTTTATGGATGCACCAATTTTATGTGACAATTTATGGAATATGGCTGCTATCTAATTTTTTTGAAATGGTATATTACCATTTTTGGATTTATGGAATTATGTCACGGTGCAATTGAATTTTGGAATTGTATTACGATGGAATAGCTCTGATCAAGCTAAATGGGCCTAATGTGACTCTTGAGGGCCCAAGATGTTTCATTAGATCGGCTTTCCTTTGCTGTGCTTAGGGTAAGTTATATGGACTTATGACTTGGGCTTAAGGATACAAGCTTCAGAGTCTATCCTTAAGTCGGCTTTCTTTTTGCTATGTGCATAAAGTAAGCTATATAGAAAATAATTTTTGGGGACTACTGATGGTGTACCAGAAAAGGGTTTAAACTATGATTTTCAAAAGTTAAACTCTTTTACGAATTTGTGAGATTACTGGACTATGATTTGTACCTATTGATTTATGGAAATGTTGGGACACACTGAGCCTAGCTCCCTTTTGAAAATGTTTTCCCCTTTCAGATACTGTTGGTTAGATACCTCGGTTCGAGCACTTGGAGGATCAACATATCTCTTGAAGTAAATCAGATTGTAATGTTTTTGCAAGTTGACTATATTTGGTGACATGGACCTTATTTTAAATATCGGATTTTATAATGATGACTCTTTTGCTATTACTGCTCGGTTTATTGTGATATTGAATTTGAAGACATGTTTAAAATTAAATTATTATTTATTGGTACTATATTTACGAGTTGGATTTTGATAGTATAATTTATTTATAATTTCATGTTATTTATAATGTGATTTTATATTGATGGAATAACGGTTTCGGAAAATGTCTTTAATAATCATAATGTGATCCACTAGACTTAGTCGAAACGCATAGGCCGGGTCTAGGGGTTACACGCAGGCTTTTGTCTTTGTGCAGTCCCATGTTCGTGCTCATTTATAATTAATGTGGTTACTGAGTTCTGCCACACCAATTGGTTGGCTAAATAGAATGATTCAGTTTGAAGAGAAATTTCGCAAGGCGGTGCGTTTACAGCTGTATGACAGCTCCATCTCCTTTACTTGTTATTGATGTTATTATAACTCAAATTATTAGTTTTAACTTTCTTTCGATTCTGCACCATAACCCTCTTGTTAGTGGATTTTTGTCCCTGTGGGGATCAGTCAAAGGGGAGTGTTTTAGATGTAATTATCAAATGCCAAATTGGAGAAGTGTTTTGCTGGCATCTGATAAACTTCTTTATCTTAATCATCGTTGAGCAACACCCAATATGCTTTGGTGACGTGAATATGCAGGAATCAGTCTCAGTGATGCAGAAATAGTTAGCTATACCAATATCAGATATGTATATCATTCCTGGCAAGAGTACTTCTACTGTGGTGGTTTTGCAATTTATATTGTATCCTGACAAAGAAAGTTTGTACGACTTGTAACATTCATGGAGATGTTTGATTAGACAACTGGAAAGTACCCACCGAAGTTTCCCGAGTCGTTCCAAGTATATTTCCCCTAAATGATTTGAATGGGAATTAAATATATAAAGGTTCATATAGCTTATCAGAACTAGTATAGATTAAGTCTTGGCTAAGTTCAGAAACTTCAGAATTTGGGTTTTTGGAATTGTGCCTTGGAGGCTCCGTCCTTGCTAGAATCAAACCTGTCATTGCACGTAGTGTTTATCATTTCCATGAAGGGATTCTATTAGCATAGGAGCCAATGACAGAAGAGCGAATATTGATCCTCCCAGTGAAAGTCAAAATCAACAATCCATATTCATCCAATTCCACGTGTCCTCAGCATTTTCTTTAACAAAGGAGAAGATGTGATCAAGCATCTATAAAAGACGTCTGAGGGAGACTCAGAGGAAGTTAGCCACGTAAAAAACCTTCTACCCTCTTTCTCTCCCACTATCTCTTCAATGGTGGCAAAGGAAAAAGGAGGCATCCTTCTCTCTTTTCTTCAACTTTTGCTGACAGTTTCACGGGAGGGACGGACAGAGAAACAAGACAGGACCACTGTCTACTAGGTAATGTTCTCATTCCCATCATTAACATAATCTCGGTCTTTCTATTCCCCTGTTTTGGTTGCCCCATGAATCATGATCCTTTCTGCATCCTTTTGGCATTTTAATTCTCTTGTTACAAGCCTTTCCACTTGGAACAATCCTATTGCTGTTAAAACAAACTAACGCCAAGGTTTTAGGATATCATAGTTTTGGTATACAATCATTGCCAGGTGCTTTATGCTAATAGGAAACTGTAGTACTTATTACTGTATCCAACTGACGGCGACCATGCACAGACTAAGATTTGTTGAAGGCTTTCGTTGTGGGTCAGTAAATGACCTTGTTTCCATAACATTTGTAAACATATTGCAGGCTGCATATGGTTATTAGGTCAATACCGATTAATCTTTCTCTAGTATATCTATCTGACCGTACAATTAGCTCGCTCGGAAATATTTATCCGAACCAGTGCCCTTAAAATTTAAAGAGATTAAGAATCACCTATTCGATAAGCGACCCGGATTATTAATATGTTATACTTTAGCGCTTACTTAATAGTTAGGAACTGCCATGCGTTTCCATGTTTTAAAGTTTTAAACTTATGGTAAGAATGGGATTATTTGGAGCTTTGAGTACTTCTCAAGAGTTATAGTTTTTTGAATGCATACCTAGATGCTTGGTTCATTGAAGAGTTTGAATAATCGACCTTGTGGTCCTCAGATTATTTGAAGGAGCAATATGCAATTGGCTTATGTAATTTGACCCATGGGTGGGAGGATGCTTGATGCTTCTAACCAATGACTCGTAAGTCGTAATAATTAATAAATACCTTGTGTCTTACCGAATCTCTATTGGTTTTTCGACGGTGGACATGTCATATTATAGGTCAGAATATGTTGCTAACCCTATATATATATATATATATATTAAAAAATTGAGATTTAGTTCTGTACTTAAAAGTTGAAAAATGAATTTTCTTATTTTTCAATTTAAAATTCTAATCGTATCGTTAACACCTTTAGTATTTTGCGTCAAAATTTTCTAGTAGTCAGGTCTGCTAAGTTCTTTTTGATTTGATTTGAAGTTAGCATCAAAGATAGCATGGTGTATTAGTGTATTGTTTGTAAATTTCGATGGAAAATAATGGGATTGAATATGAAGATTAAATCTCAAATTTATTCCAGGACTTGGATATTTTCTCCTATAATGAAAACTTTGGGGAAGGTTTTCACAGTGATGTGGACGGCTGGGATTCAATATAATGTCCTTGGTTCTCAGATACTGCAATTTTAGTTAGCCCCGTCCCTATATCAAAAGGTGTTCAGCTTTAGGAGGAGTTGTCAATTCATAAAGAATCTACGGGGGGAAATTGTCCAAATTAATTTTCTTGCTCGTGGTCATTCTTGTAGGAAGATAGAATAATCCACACAAAATTTTATATATATAAATAACGTTACCCTCAAGGGTTTGGTTAATATAGTGA